GTAATGCAAACCGATTGTTCGTAAGACCCGTCTAGCCTTACAAACAATCGCTTTGCAATACGAACTTTTTCTTTGCAATACAAAGAACGAAAATTGTTCGTAACGTTGCAAAGTATTTAGTTCGTAAGCTTCTTACAGTGTATCTTTTCTATTTTATCTGCTTTTAAGTTTTAATATCCAGTAATAAATTCGTACATTTCGAAATCTTATTTTGCTTATATGAAACTAAAATTTTAAGACAGATACATTCGTAGGGTCTAAAAATGTCGAACATTTTTCAAATAATGTTCTTTTTTAAAGTATACTGTAGCCGACACATGGCTTTCACTGAAGAGTCAAATCAAAGGTCCCTTTAGTTCAGACTAGTTCATTACAAAGACACAATATAAGCAAACAATGAAAAAATAAAAAAGCGGAAATCTTTACACAGAATCTAGAGGTATGGACGATATTGTCTTCAGATCAAAGTAAGTGCAAAATACTGAAATAATCTGATGAGAAATCGTTTTGCGTTTTTTCCGTCACAGCGGGGATTAGTCGCACGACGAACACTCGGAGTACTTCTCCCTCCAAGTGGAAAGAGAGATGGTTACGCAGTACGCTACTCTCCACGAACATTTATTAACAAAAACAACAAGGATAAGGTTTTTCTACTGGAAGTGTTCTAAAATATAGAGATGTGCTGTGCTTTTTGCCGAAATTCCTCTCCGCGCACAGTACACTTAAAAGGTTTTCCTGTGGGTGAGGAGATGTTTACTCAAGTATCCTTTCGAACAAAAATTTTTGTGGCACACACTACACTCAAAGCGCTCTTCTCCTCCAGTGTGGGTTCGTAGATGATAACGCAGACTACCACTGGATTTAAAGCTCTTGTTGCAAACCACACACTCGAAACTTGTGTGAATAACGAGCACACATTAACTGGCAGGGAATGTACAGCACAGTATATTTACGTACGTGTCGTATGCACCGATTTGCACGGATTTAGATTCGTGCACAAAATCAGACACAAATATACGGTTTAATTCATAAATAACGAAAAAAGTATACACGAGAATACATTTAAAGTTGACGCACAATTATTGATTGTTCCTGATGTTGTTCAGAACGATAACTTTTTTCCCCGCCGTGTAGGCAGGCCACCGTCGGCAGAGGCAGTGTCTTTGCGAGAATTGATCGTTACTGCGACCTCTCGCCGCACGGACGATCCCTCTCCGCCAATTTCCCGCCGCGCCCCGACTCCTCCGGACCTCCTCTCTCTCTCTTTCTCTCTCTCTCTCCCCTCCCCCACCCTCCTCTCTCAGGAAACGAATCGACGGGCGGGTCGGCTCATTGCGTACGAATGCAGCAGTCGCCATCATATAATGGAATAAGTTTGTCGACGGCCGGGAGGAGGCCGGCGGGAGCATCCAGCGGCACGCTGACGGCCTTTCTCCTCCTCCTCCTCCATCTGCCAGCGTTTCCCTTTTGTTGCTCGAGTTTTATTTTTATCGCCGTTCGCCCCCGCGCCGTACGCGCATTTGCTCTTTTGCACGAAACCTTTACTCTTTAAAAAAAATAAAAAAATATCAAACCCCATAGTTTCTCTAGTGTGTGTATTTTCAATACACTCTCGTACAAAAATGCACTGTGAAAAATTTCCTCGTAAATTAACAGCATTTGTCAAAATTTTTATTTACAAAACTGTAAATTTGTGACAGCCCATTTGCTCTCGCGCGTCGGTCGATTCCAAGTCGATACAAAGTGCTTGTCAGTTTACAATTTCGGATTATAATTGTACGACACACATCGCGGGAAAATTTTCCCGCAAACACTAACTGGATTTGTACCTTTTATTAGTACGAATTTAGGCAATAAAATTTTTTGCACACATTTCTAGGTTGATTTGAACACTTCTTTGCATTCATTTGTAGGAAATCATTCACTTTTGGCGAACAAATTTGTGCGAAACGAGGGGTAGGTTTAACTTTAGTGCGATCATTTGCACAAAAAACATACAAATACATTTAGTATGTGTGAATAACTTACACGACTATGTATTTTTCGCAGTGGACGGTTAAAATGCCGCGGGAGGCACTTCCGGTGTGTCAAAGTAGTGGGTCGGTAGTGAGAGTCCAGCATTATGGGCCTACAACGGGGTTACCCACCACACCGTCGCGGTGCATCACCAGGATAAAGCTGAAGGCGCCGTCGCGGAGGAGTGCGCGGCGCGAGCCACGCGGGCGTCACCGCTGCAGCAGCAGCACCCCATTCGACGCGCTTTATTTTACGGCAAACGACTCGTAAAGGGTCATACAGGCCGTGTTGGAGTACCATGTGCAGCAATCCCACCGGAAGGCAGGGGGATGGGGGGGGGATGCAAACGGTGCTGCTTTTGGCGAGAGAGGTGTTTGAAACGGGGGGAAGGGGGGGGGGCTGACACTGGTACGTCGTGCACGCGGACTAGAGTTATATTGTTCATCGTAAATGTTTACAAGCGCGCGGGACACGGCCGGCGACGCCCCACCCCGCCCGCGCCACGAGCGAAGTGTGGAAGGAAGGGGGGGGGGGGGACCCGCGCGGAGGGGGAGGGAAAAGTGCGCGGATCCACACTCTATACACCAGCAAGGAAAAGGGCATTAGCCGTACCAAGGAGTGAATTACAACATACACTGTAAATTGCTTACGAACTATAGGTTCGTAATGCAAACCAAAACGTTCGTAGCTTACGAGGGATTTTGAAGCGTTGTATTACGAACTAATTGTTCGTAAGCTTACGAACAAATAGTTCGTAATGCAAACCGATTGTTCGTAAGACCCGTCTAGCC